TGTGTGTGTGTGTGTGTGTGTATGTGTTTGTGTGTGTGTGTATGTATATGCATATATGTATATGCATATATGTATATGCATATATGTATATGCATATATGTATATGCATATATGTATATGCATATATGTATATGCATATATGTATATACATATATGTATGAAAATATTTACACACACATACATATATACATATGTATACAATATATAAATATAAATATGAATACATATATATATACATATATATATATGTTTGTGTTTGTGTGTATGTATATGTATATGTATATGTATATGTATGTGTGTTTATGTGTGTGTGTGTGTGTGTGTGTGTGTGTGTGTGTGTGTGTGTGTGTGTGTGTATTTGTGTTTGTGTGTGTACGCGTATGTGTGTGTGTATGTGTGTGTTTTTGTGTCTCTGTGTGTCTGTGTGCGCGTGTGAATGTGAGTGTATCTGTATATATCTATGTGTGCTTGTGCGTATATGTTTGTGTGTGAAAGAGAGAGAGAGTGTGTGTGTATGTGTGTGAGAGAGAGAGTGTGTGTGTGGATATGTGTGTGTGGATGTGTGTGTGAGAGAGAGAGAGTGAGAGTGTGTGTATGGGTGTGTGAGAGAGAGAGTGTGTGTGTGTGTAGGCGCGCTCGTGTTTGTGTGTATACGTGTGTCAATACAATCATGTATATGTGGTATTTGCACCGGTTAAAATTCGTTAACACAAGAAAAGATAGTACCACATCGATATCAACCGCTTTGATACACACTCCATAATTCTAGATATATACACCAGCATATAGTATACCTACGTCCGCATATAGACTACACATCTACCGATATATATGCTACACAGACACAGCAACACTTGCAAGCGTACTATACCTATCATAGGAATAGCAGCGGTCATCACGTGTATCCATATCTGCCTCCTGCTCGGATCTGCTGTCGCAGGATCCGCCTGTGTTCGTTTACACCTAATAATTGTATGTGGGATTGTCTTCGCCACAGTGTCTTTCGAATAGAAATGTAACCCATTATTTGAACATCGGGGGCCTATTGAATCTAGCTTTACCTTTCTATTACGTTCGCATGTCGGCTGGTTCCTAGCTGTATGCAGGTTGTTTGTGAGCTTACTACGGTTTCTATTGCACGCTACCCACTGAGTTGGCTGTGTTGCGCTTTTTAATCCAGAGCTAGAGGTGTGTCTCCAGGCGGAAGTGTGTGGTTTAGCTGTGTGTATGTGACATGCCAATGTCTGACCTAAGTGTCTGCAATGACGCAGATTCCTCGATGTACAAGTTGTCGGACTGTTCAAATACCACATGTTGTTGAATGCTGGGTGTATGCAGGTTACAAGTGATTTTAAATATGATTATTCTGTATACATATTTTGTTATAGACCTTATTATTCCGGGCTTATTATAGCCTCCTTTTGTATATGGGAATAAAATTGGGGTTTTTTACAACAAAAATTTAGAAAACAATCACTCTCGCTTGATACGAACTGTTTTCCTGACCAATCAGACAATTCCGATGGGAAACGCATACTCGCTGCCCTGGGTGGCCATTCCCAAAGTAGAAAAGTGATTAAAGTATGTAATTATTTACCGTCATGGTGTTGGATGAGAGGCTAAAAAAAGCTGGTTTCTATTATATCAAGTGCCTGCCCAATATTCTGGTTATTTTGAGGCACTTAGCTGCACAGTATGTACCTATTGAAAATATTGTAAAGGTTAAGCTTCCTTGCGCGGTCGACATTGTTACGGATTTTAAACTGGGGTAGCAGATGTCGAGTTTGATGAGAAAGCAGCTGCTGCTCTGCTGCAAAAGATTCGAAATGAGAGACAAAAGACGGTACCACTTCCCGTGAGGAGTCGCGAACGATTGCGATACGGCGAGAGATGAGGTAATCAGACTGGAGATAAGAAGGAACGCGGTTCAGAATAAGTCAACCATGAACAATTATGAGATCGTCGCGAGACTATACGATGTAAGTATATACTTTAAGGCACGAAACTGGAGTGTGAATACATATCATGTCCGGCCAACAGGCAAACTTCGCCGAAACAGTTCAGCAGACCGTTCTGAAAACACGAACAAGTACACCGATGTGGCCTCTAGGCAGAATATGCGCGCCGATGATACGATACATCCGTATACGGGCCCAACTGAAGCCGACACAGATAAGGCGATTATGTATGGAGATACGGCACATTGTGGCAATATTATCAATACACACGATTGCCCGTACAATGGTAGCCAGTGCGACAGCGGTGGCATTGGCTCACCGCAATACCTGTCTTCGAGACGCACAGACATTTCAAGCAATCGGCTGTTGTAGAGACGCACACATATCACATGGGAAGGCTTAAGAGGACCAGTATCACACACCGAACGAGTCGTGAGCACGGCATCTGCAATGAAAGAGGTAAGGGGCACCTCACCATACACAGATGCTCACATACAGAGCCATCAGTCGCCTGATGTAGGAGAGTGTGGCAATTCAAATGAGATCTCATCATGCACCGAGGTAATTACAAATAGTCACTATGTAATGTAGGCCTTCATCTACTGATCCCGCATTGCGAAGTAAGGTAGATCAATCAACGAGTATGGGGCCGACTAATTAGTCGCATTCGCTTGCCGATGCTAATGAACCGTCTATTGAAATGCTCGACCACCTTCACATACAGCCCCCGGCCATGTGGCCACCAAGGGTTCATAGAAGTCATAGCGTACACGCGTCTACAGTAGCATCACCGTTATTGTCACCCACTTCATAAGCCACAAGTAAGGTCTCATCCATCAACGGTGTGAACGATGACTACAGTGGTGTTAGTGTAGCGCTCGATTCTGACGATACTCGCGCGGAAGGCATGCTGGATGGCTCGTATGTCGAGGAGAGGAATGGTATACCTGACAAGGACCCCACCGGCAATATCGCTAGAGATGTGTCCGATACAGTGGGAGGTGTTCATAGTCACATCTCTGCGTCTGATACTGCTAGCGAAGTCGGATATGAATCTACAAAATGAGATTGCCCAGGGGTGGGAGGCAGTGTAGATCTCTTGATTTGGATCCAAGATAGCTTCAGCCGCATTGGTAGGCCTGAGACAGGGACAGACGAGATGGAGAACTCTGTGGTGACATGTGCAAGTTCTGAGAGAATTGGGAAGGTGATGATTACCGCTATAAATGTGGGATTGATGGTGGTAGCGAGAGTGGGAGTGATATCCTTGGATTGGTACAGTCGCACAATGAGAAATTTAACGGAGAAACTGCACATGGCGGTGGTGCTAGTGTGCGGAAGACTGGTCGGAGGAAGAGTGTGGTCATAGCACGTGACCACAGTGATATGGAGCGCTATGCTGGTGTAGGCGCAGTGAGCAGATTCATGCGCAACGGAATGATTCTGAACACGAGCACATATGCGTACATAGAAATGTACATGGAAATGCACATGAACCACACGAAAAGGGCCACGCTTAGCTACACATGGGCGCACACCGTGTGATAGGGGATGCCTTGGAGCGAGATAGTATCGGAACTACAACTGACAGTGGCACTGAAAGTAACTTATTAGGCACAGACGGGAGTGAGGATATCAAGGCCAGTGCATACCGTATGTTCTTCGATGATTCTGTATCCCAATTCTCGGTGGAAGAAGCCTTCCTGGCCCTTGCAGGCGACAAATATCTCGAAATGAATCTAAACGACGACCATTAAATCGCCTCGTAAGTTGACATTTACCCGCTACAAGCCCGCAAGCTGCTGTCCTATACGTTCCAGCGTACCTTAATTTAATGCTAGCAATAACAATAGATTTCATCAGGCTCAATAGGCTGGCAATAGCAGGATTGCATAAAACCAGCAGGATATCGTACGAATGGGCATCGATTCGAAATACCGTGTACAGAGTTTAGTGTATGCTCGCGAGAACGAATGGTTTTCATACTCTGAATTTTATACGGGGCTCTTATATATGATGTCGTCTGCCAATGTACGCGTATACAAGTGTAGCATAACACAACGTCATACACACGGAAGCTTTAACACGAGCATACGATTATCTTTCTAAACAATATGATTGACAAAATGGTAGTCAGGTTTGTTTCAAGAGAAATATTTCACTACGCATATGCTGTCTTATATACATATGAATATGTAACCGTAGCAATTTAAATGTGTAGCGATGTAACTCTGCGCGAGTGTGCACCCGCGTCATTTTTCAGGCCTGTTTTATTCAGAGACCTTAGAACCTGTACAAACACTTGTGAAGTATTTGAAAATAATGGGCAATACTACACTCACACAGCTTTATTGTACATTCGGTGCTGTTGCACGAATCACTTTTCGAATCAACCCCAAACGGACACATTTCAATTATCCGCTCGTTCAATCATTTATCACGCTAAAGGGTGGTATTTGTATGTCTATGCTCTGTTTTTTTGTTTCTCCTCCGCCTGCTTGGCCGCTGTGATAGTAAACCCTCTCTAAAAGGTATACCATTGAGGAGTATGTTAGCTATTATCGACCACGCAGACACCCACCTCCATGGGACTCGCTTCCGCGTCTTGTTTCTCAGTGTTCTTCTTCAGCTAAGAATCGAGTCGGACTGTTTCCGATGTTGTAACGATTACATTACGTACTAGAGTACCCTGCTCTTAGAGGTGTATGGAGCCCGTGTCGACGGATTGTTTGTCTGAGGGCGGCACAGCTTTTAAGGAGATCAACTATCTTCACCCCTGGTTCCCTGTATGGATAGATGGTATTCTGCATCATCTTACGGCGTTCCAGAGCTGTCTTCCTTTCACCAAGCCTGATTGTTGCTTATTCGTGTACATCTAATATGCATGTACTTGGTGCATGTGCACTGAAATATCCAGTTTCGACAGCGATATGCAAAACCGAAAGAATGGAGTGTGAAATCATCCTGTTACGAACACACGCATTTGCAAATACCCTTCGCTTTCTCTGGTTTCTTCCCCGTCTACCTGTCGGTTGACTGTAGGTTGATGGAGTCCATTGACTACCTAGATACTGGCGCTCGTTGGCCATCGCGAACTGATTGTCGTACCCCGTTGATGTAAAATTGTACGCTATGAAGCAACAGAATATATGAAATATTTAACAGATATATATAGAAAACGAGTCTTCTTTTTGTTGATACTTGGCATTGATTACGTGCTCATAGTATCTCACCTTTGTGATTTGAAAACTATGTTTCATCTCATATGCATACGGCTTTTCTTATATCACTCTGCTCTTTTTTATGATTCGTGGGTGAATCACACATTCGAAAACATGTTAACATAATGATAGATACCACAGAGTGGTGTACGCGACGTAGTAGACTTCCCCAGAAAACATACACAAGCAACACAGACATTCGCCGTATATTTGACGGAACGCATGCCATTCTTTCTGTGAATACATTACTACATTGTCTCTCGTACATTTTTGAACCCATAAAATGAAGCACATTAGTACGGGTCTCGATAAAATTAAAATTTCCACAACAACATGTCACACACCCTGAGCATGATGAGTGATAGGTGGCCTGTTGTCGATCGGTTGCACCAACTGAACGACAACGGGATTAATGGTTTATTGAATGGTTTCATAAGGGTCAAAAGGTCAATTCAATTTATAGTCAGCTCCTGATAGTACAGTTGAGGTCCATTAAAAGGTGTAATTGGTTGTTTGTACCAATACTTGTTTCGGAAAGGCTTTTACAGATAGAATATATACAGTTAATATACACAATAGGATGTTGCCATACACGTAGTTGACTTCCAGGGCTTGGACTACTCAAAGTTTTTGTATAAATAGAATAAACTATGACTGAACTAAATTTAGCGTTCTGAAAGCCTTGATACTGAACCATTGCTGAGGCACGGCATAAGTCGCAATCCGCTAGTGAATCGATATTCTCTTTGTATACATTCGATTACCGGAAAGTAAGCAGGAAACTAAAGGCCACAATCCTGTATGTAAAGGCCGCAACCCCATATGAAGTACTCCCCATGCTGATATCCTTCCTCTAACTCGTACCCTTACAAATTATACGATGCTGATTGTTCTGACAAGTTCATAGACCAGAATAGGATAGGCAAATGCAATGCATCCCCCCCTTCTGCCCGCTCAGACTAGAACAAGTGCCGTACCTGTGGGTCGCCTAGATTGTTACCAAGTGTGTCATTCACGAGGCATCGGCTGTACTTTAGCCAGAGGAACGACAACTGGGAGGAATGTGTAGTTTGTTACATACCACTTGAGTCAAAGGCTCCATGAAAACGGTTTTACAGATAGGTATATAATGGGATGATATTGAGAAACACGTCATGATATTCACTGTGCTGGAAAAGCAAGCCAAACGATCTCGAATTTTGTTGGTTGTTTAATCATTTTACTATCATTCGTGATGGATTCTCTTAACTAACCATGTGTATATATAGCGTATAGAATACTTAGCAAATAGAACGAGCCGCAAGCGAGACCCGCGATTTAGCATACTACGAATGACGACAGATGTAGAACACTTGACGAAACCCTCCAGAAAGAGTACTCGTGCACAGCACGTGTTTGCAGTGCAACAATTGGTGGCAGGCTACATACATATTCCTATTAGTATTTTCACTTCGCTGCGGGTCCAACCCTTCATAACACTCGTATGTCTATCGCAGGTGATTTTATACGTTCAATAATAGTCGCAAAACAAAGAACGGTATTGCATAAGACGAAGTCAATGGTCGACACAGACAATGCTCACCGTATTCACATACTCTTCCTGATATATAACTCTGCTAGGCAACTATACAACTACTGGGGAAGTGAAAATCTTCTTGTGTTCAACAACCAACGTAAGTACTGTACTCAGCAAAATAATACGTGCAAGGGAAGTATGTGTGTTTGCTCATACATTTGTGCGTATGCGTCTGCATATCTACTATCCCACTATTATAATGCTTTCCTCAGCTTCTATAGTCAACACATTTTCATATACGTTGCCACCCAATCCTGTAGCACACTCGGCGCTCTTCGAGTGCACTCACTTGCTGTAGCTCAGCGGTTGTCATTGTTTCTGGCTGGTATGTGTGTAGCGTCTCCGTTTGATACGTGCGGGTTAATTCCGGTGGATACGTATTCGCTGAGTCGTACTCTGTCGAGTGCTGATCCTAAACAGGTTGAGACTCGCGAGGAGTTCATTATTTTAGCAAAAGGCTTAGACGTGCACCTCATTTCGTCGCAAAACAACGGTAAAAGGGTCCGGAATTTTATAACAGCAGAAAACCCCATATATAATTATATTTAAAAAAATATGAGACTTCAGAAAGCAACACGTAACAGCTTTTATAATCGAACTATATTACTTTCCATGCATGTTAATTAGCTACGCGTGTAGTTCATTGTGATGTATATGCCAGAGAACATCGACTCCGACAGGCTTTATGTTGGCCAAGAAATATGCTCCCTTATTCAATAGCAGGAGTTCACCAGCAACGAATACGATGGGGAAGAATGAAACCACACCAGGCGATAATCCAGTAATGGTTCCATTCGTGAGCTGTAGACATTACTCCTATGTAAGCTGAGGATGATACATGAACGTGGGCTGTAACGATACTCACATACATACTACAGTTCTTATGAACTTCTGAGCAGAACGCTACTGCTCCTGAGCTGCAGACGTACCGTACGAACTTCTGAGCTTAAAACATCATCAACTTTTGAATCGATAACGATCACTTACCCGTGAAGCACTGCTTTGACTATTTAGCGCCGTTCTACTGATGTAATCCGCCACTCGCTGCACACGAGCGAACTCGACCTGCAAAGGCCGATTGTGTACCACTACATCGTTCGACTGATTATTTACATTCACAATTCAGAGTTTGTCAATAAAGAGATGCGATAAACGGCGTGTGAAGTACAAAAGCAGCAAGGAGAAAAGTACGGATGAGAAGGCATGCGAGTCCTTCCGGGAATACATCATCACCCCCTTGCGTTGCTGGGAGTTTTAACTCAATGAATCCACTACAATCTGCCTATACGTACCTGTGAAACCAAAGCCCTAGCGTTGAATTCTCCAGCCACAGTGCAAAACCCATATCCCTTGGAACTGATGCATATCAATTACAACTCTCAACGATGAGTATGCTCGTTATCAGCTATGCTGTACGTCTAGAATTTTGTATATTAATTGCTGCAACTACAATGTACATATTCTTTGTTAAGACGTGTACCAGTGAAACCACTTTGAATACCGATACAATCCCTCGCACAGACGATGGTCGACTTCGTTCTCAATAACTATGCGCAAAAATAACGGGAAATTACCACTGGCAATAGTCACGCACAACTTATTGAATTTGCCTCCCACGTTATCGCGACACCCAAATCCCACTCCCACTCCCCTATATACCCACCTACACGTACATATGTGCGCGTACAAAACCTTCTTCGTTTCCAAATGCGCGAAAACACATACTCCCCGAGGTCAGTGCGGCACAAGCGAAATCCCATGAAACCATTGAGATTGTGCAGCAGGCCGACGATAACATCTTCAGGGACCATGTAGGGAATATTGCCAACGTATACGTTCACTACGGTTGGATAGCAAGGGTTAGTAGAAATTCGGACCAGACCATATCAAGCACAAGCATGCATTTAACTATAAAACATTTATATATACAAACATACATACCCATATTTGTCCATTTATGGCTGTGAGTCAATGTCTATAAGATAATGCAAGACCTCATCAAGAACATTACATCTGTCTAAACACATACTCAGATCGACATCTGGCCCATTCGAATCCACTTGGCACTGCGGCACCATTCTGAACGGTTGTGAGGACTGAATTTCTGGTGGTGGAATATATTGCGAGGAAGTCGCGAGAACATGTTCGTGGTGGTACGTATGTACCGCATCCTCGAGAGAGGCAAGCTGAGAAGGGGTATACTGATCATACTGCATTCGTTACCGGCCGTTGGAATGAAGACAGCATGTCCCAATTCAGTACGCGTTCAGTCAAAGATATTGGATAAGTACAGAGGTATTGAATGGGGGGAGGGAGGGGGACGGGATTTACAAGCTATGACTGACCTTTGCGTCCTCACTGCAACGATCCAAGACTTCAGAAGCAAAAGGCGAAGCGATAGTACAGAATAAACCGTAGCTTTCAATAACAACTACAACACCAAAAAGCGTATTGAAACTTCCAGAAGTCAAATTCAAAAAACATCCGACCTATAACAACAAAGAATTTCTACAGATGGGGCGAGAATTGGCAGAAACAATAGTATACCTGGCTACGGTTAGCACCGGCATGTGTACCCCTGCAATAGTCTTCGGGAAGCATTCTATCAGAAATGAGCCCCACACTAGGTGCAACCCCGTACCCTTGGTTGAGTCTCATGGGCGCTGGGTTGTGATGCTCACTTACATCGTAAGCATCCGTTCTAATATAAATCTCTGGTGCATTGTAACCTCCCGGTAAGTTGAGGTTTTGGTCTGTGATGTATTGCTCAGCTGCCAGGCTACGCACTGGCGTGTTGCACTCACTGACTGCATTGTATCGATCTGATAGGATGCCTTGTACCGATGGGCTGTGATCCTTTGCTGCACAGTACTTCTCTGAGGTGGCATGTTGGACCTGTGGGACATACGACCTTGCCGTATCGTAGTGCTCTACATGCCCGGGATTTGTCTCGTCGCACTCCATGTCACACTGCTGGCTCACAGCCGCCTCCAAACGACCAATGGGTGCAACCTCATCCACCACATCACAGGCGACAACAGTATGTGCACTAGACCCCTCTTTGTACAGTTCGGGTGTAGCTAAGGTGGTGGCTGGGTTGCTCAACTGCCTACCATCCTTTCCCACCCGATCACCGCACTCAACAAGTTCATCCTGCAGCTCATTCTCTTCTGCAGAGCTTGCACTCTCATCGTCGTGCACAATATCGACTGAAGGTTGCTGTCTGTCTGCACCAGATGTTCGTGATTCAATTTCATGTACAGGCAGTATCGGACTACCATCCCCCTCATCGAGCATATATGCGTCCATCATCTCTTCATCTTGGTATACACTATCCTCATCACTTGCACGGTTCGACTCCGTCACATCCAACCCATCCGAGTCGCATGATGTGTGGGCTGAGCCCGTTAGTGTGCGTAAATCATGAGAGAGCTGATCTACTTCACCCTTTGCCTGCGTGATACACTCGCCCTGTTCACTCATCACACCTGTCTCGTCTGCGACACCCTCATTTGGACGGTATATGTTCGGCGCAGAAGCATCTGAATCTGTCTCATTACATACCGTCGTAGATTGCAGTGAATGTTCCTTCTGCTTGTCTGACGGTATAGTGCCAGCTCCCGTAGAAGCCGACGCGTCATCCCCCGTGACACTCTCAAGATCGTGTCTAACCGCCGACTCGAGACTCTCTCGCCGTAGCTTGTGAGATGTCTGGCGGTGTTGTGCCACCGGTTTTGAATACGGGCGAGGTCGTTGTGGTAAGGTGGGTATCTCCACTGAAGTCCCTGATGCGGATGAATGTACCATACTCTGTCCCCTGTGTACCTCCTTGACTGTCGGTATCTCCTCAGGGCGATCACACTTTATGTTACTGATTGATAGACCCTCGGTCGACTCACAGGGTGCACTTGTACCATCCCTAGTGGCGGCTGTCTTTAATTTTCTTTTCTTTTTCTTCTTCTTCCGTTTCTGCTGCGGCTGCGTGGTAGTCAACAATATATCCTCATCGACCGCAATGGTTTGTTGTGCGTCCTCGATCGCATGTGTTCCCATAGCTTCAAATGCATCCACCAGCGTAGACTCAAGTGTTTCTCCCGGTATCATCTCACTACAAGTGGCAACAGTAGTCGCGCTCTCCGTGACCCGATAATTCGCAAGCTGAAGTGGTTCACCATTCGGGTCGCCACCATGGTGTACGTCACCGGTGGTTGCATAAGTGGCAGAGTTTTCCAAAGGCGTGTCCTTCCTACTCTGATCCGTCTCTGTACCTTGCTCACCATCCGGAGGTACACTTCGTATCTTTGAAGTTCCTTCACCCACTCCATCCGAAGGTGTACAAGTATCTGTGGCATTTTGGCGAGTGTCGCCTTCTTCCATCACACTCTCTGAAAGAGCACAAGTGTCTGTAGCATACTCCAGTCTGCAGCCTCCTTCAGCCGGCGCTGTTTGACGCCTTGAAGGATGCATCACCAGCGTCATGGGTAGGGGCGGCACATTAAACCCAAGATCTCTATCGTGAGTATCTTCATTGACTGAGTCCTTGTAATCGGATGAATTTATCGGCACCCCGGAAGATTTACTCAGCGCCGCAGCTGCAGTATCTAACCATATCACATCAGGGAGATCTCCGTAGGTTGTAACCGTCGAGGTATTCGCACGTTGTTGCTTTGAGGCTTTCGCCGCACGCCTCCGAGCTGCTTGCACACGAGCCTTATTCTTCTGCTTAGCCCGGCTGCAACTCACCATAGTGTGGCGTGTGGTTCTGTGGACACTCTAATGAACCGATCACAGTGAAGTAGCCATATGAATCATCTTTTTCTAATAAATGTATGTCAGACATGACACTTGCAGATGAATAAATCTGGCCGAAATGTTTGGAATACGTATCGAACTCAGGCTGGAAGTACAGGCTGCTGGTGAGATTCGGTACAACGTGCTATCATTGTGGTCAGCTGAGAGTGTCTTCGTATCTCTAGAATAGATTAAAAATAGGACTAGTCTATAGTTCGTCTAATTTAGAAATATATTTTTCGACTAGGTATTGTGGAAGTACTTGCTGCGAGCTATCGTGTGCGCGTGCGCATGAACGTCCAAATATTGGTTCACCACACACTGGTTTACGTCACATTCGCACCCGAAACCACTACATCATCATGCCTAAGTATTATATACTTACGGCCACTGTAGGATGCCAGTGACATTCACACGTGTGTGTGTTTTTGTGTGTGTGTATGTACCTGCATAGAGGTCAGACCACTGCTTAGCACACGCACATTCATCGCTCGCCCAATTGAAAGTAATACACAGTAATGTACAAGAATATATGCTATAAGTACTGGCAATGTAGTACTACTGCCCCAGCGATGTAAGTGTATGATGATCTATATACAAGGTCCGCATGTAAACTACAAGACAATGACAGTGCGTTTCTTCATGCCATAACTCAGGTCTTACCCTCTCGAGTGAACCACTTGTTATGTTGGAATAGGCGTGGTTGTGCAATCAACGTTCACTATGCAATCTTCAAGTCCCTATTGCCTACTGATAAATACTGCCCTCTAAACCACTACACCATCAGTACTTATCTAACAAGTGTGATAGAACACAGGGCTACAGGCTTCTGTTAATATGATAACAGGAGTGAATATGTACGACTTACGTGTGTATGCTGGCTAGTATTTGTATTAAATACCGGCTATCAACTACAGTAGAGTTAGTAGCAGGGAAGGCAGTGTTACGTGTCAAAAGCCCGCCAAAATTCATATCTGTAGTATCATAGCCAACTTGTTATCAGTTGGCTATGATAAATATTTACATACTCTAAAATACATAAATGATTTTTACTCCTCTAATATTTACTTTTATACCATGACACTTTTATTTATTTTGATTCTTTTTAATTTCATATTTGCTACTCTCCTCTCTCTCTATGTAAATAAATAGAGAGAGAGAGATAGAGAGAAAATAAAGAAAATATACCTGAACGGACTGAAGTCCGTGTTATAAATACATAGCTTCCCCTACATAATGTTGCATTTAGGAGGCTATACCCAGGCTATACCCAATGATACTTTCTTCCCCTACATAATGTTGCATTTAGGAGGCTATGCCCAATGATACATTCTTCCCCTACATAATGTTGCATTTAGGAGGCTATGCCCAATGATACTTACTTCCCCTACATAATGTTGAATTTAGGAGGCTATGCCCAATGATACTTTCTGCTTGACCACATCATGTAGAGCTTATAAGCCTAGAGCTCACATGCCTTATTCTAAACATCGTGCGATTCTTATTCCTTTCTGCTCGATCTCTACTAATAAATTGATATATAGCCGATTAAAACAAACAGATCTCACATAGCTTATACAGTATAAGTGCGATTTTTATGTACCTTTTGCTCGACCACCACCAATATCCGTCATGTAGAGCTCGCATGCCTTGTAGCCTAATACTAAAAAATTAACAATGTGCGATTCTTATTCCTTTCTGCTTGACCTCTACTCATAAATTGATATATAGCCGATTAAAACTATCAGACCTCACATAGCTTATACTATATAAATGCTCCATATGTACTTTTTGCTCGATCAGAACAAAGTTGTGATTCGATGTGATTTGGATGGATAGATAGACCTTGCTCGTATAATATACAAAAATTTATACACCTGCTTGTTTGCTACTTAACTATTTTCTGGATGTTCAAATACAGCTAATATGGCAATAGTTTCATCGTTTGTCTTACGGAATATATGTTACTGAGCGATGCTCCTATCTAGAATAAATTGAATACTGCGAGTATTTAATATATAATCTCCCCTGTTTATACGACGAAACAAACGAACGTGAACAGAACAAATCAGGCATCTATTGTTAATTGTCGATGAAGATTGTCGTCAAACCGAGCTTTTGCCGCATGCGCTGGCTAGTATATGTATGTCTGACTATCGACTATTGTAGCAGGGAAAATAAAACAGGCATCGGCAATAGTCTCGCAAAAAACAGACTATTTCGGAGGCAGAGTATTGATGTGCACTGTTTTAGGGTTTACCAGCTATGTACTGTAGACGAGTCGATCATGTACGCCTATATTCAGCTTCACGATTTCGTGTTATATCACATACAATACGAACTCCTCACCTATATTTTTGATATCTTCAGTACAATAAAATATAGTGAAAGTTTGTGATGTAGATTCAGGTACTGAACGTGGTTTGCAAAACCACGTAAAATTCAATCAAAGTATGTGGTGAAGCCCTGAAGATGGTATGAAACCTGTCAATGACCAGGATATAATGCCAATTTTATTGCAATTCATAGCAAATGAGTCCCGAAGACTGGTCAGTGACATCCGTATTTATACCATGTCCTTGACACTCTCGGCCATATATGTTCGAATTGTGAGTGAAGATATTCACTACACTGCGTGCTGAACTAAATACAAACATCACGTTCTGATAGTCCACCACGGGACCATGAGAAAAGACGCGCAGGCCAGCCGCCTTACTAGCTGGCACATGCCTTGCAGAGGTTCGCATGCGAACAGGTTGCAACACACGCATACATGATGCGTATGTAGGTTGGAACTGTCTCCTATGACGCATTGATCTGCAACACCATGATCGCATTATAACGACAGCAGTGAATTCCCTGAGCTGCATACGGGCGATTGATCAGCCTACGCATATCATTAGAGCCAAGCTCCTGACTCTGTTGATAAGTAATTAGTCAAAAATAGGGGAGAACTACGGCCGTATATGCTGGCTTTATGCTGGAGTATGACTACCTCGAGGTGCTGTACTATCATAGGTACTGCACGAGACACTACTGTGTAAACCTCGCAACGTTTCATTAGCATGATACCCGCTCATACATAGGAGCGGAGTACAATACTCTCCAGTACAACCCCTACCAGGGCATGGGTGGCAATAGGTTCTTTGGGTTGAAAAACCACAGTATGCCCCACCCCGTCCTTATGCCGTATGTCTCCGCCATGCACTTGTGCACAGGACGTGTCTTAAACAACTCATCCACGCGCTGGTACGCTTCGTGTTCCTTTGACCGTCCCAGATGCAAGGAGTGCAGTTGCGGATCCACAATCTGAGGCCAGAGAATGTATAGTAAAGTGCGTTTAGTGGAGAGTTGATGTTTCTACGAGTATGGGCGAGTGTTGACCGGGAGATCCTTCTTAAAAGTATTCGTATGATACTCCTCAGCGTTGCGAGAGTGACATATTTTTGAGTCGGCTTCATTTGGTGTGTAACAATGTACGAATGCTGACGGAGCACGCAACAAACAAGCACCTCACACTGTGATCCCAGTATGACCAGCATCCGACAGCCTACTTCTCTACAACCAACACACGCATCAGTATTACACACATGCGAACAAAAGCTACATCATAGCTAAACAAGGGTGTACGAGAGGGGTATAGCAGCAGACAATCGCCGGTTCGTGTCGCTGACCTGTCTACATCTGACATCGTTCTCATCGCTACCCAGCGAACTCACCCACTCCTATACATACAGTACCTTGTAGACAGTCATAACAGCCACAGCGTAATCTTCACCCCCTCCTATATATACAGTACTTTGTAGACTGTCATTACAGCCACAGCGTATTCTTCACCCCCTCCTATACATACAGTACCTTGTAGACAGTCATAACAGCCACGGCGTATTCGTCTTGGTATTGCGTGGTGACCACTTGTCTCGTGAGCTCTATAATTTGCTTCACGGCCTCATTTCCCGCAGGGAGCACTTTGTATGTGGTCGAGAATGTCCCTGCAAGCCAAAACGTAGTCCGCAATCAATTAGTATGCGGCGAGTCAGTGTCTTACTGGATTGTGTAACCCAAGATTAAGCCCCGCCTTAAAACAGGGAATCGAGCCCAAACATCCAGGTACTGGAAGGGTTCATAGAAGTATATTCTCAAAATACTAGCGGTCGGGAATTCTCGCACGAATTTATTCCACTTTAGCCTCGATTGTGAGTTGAACTAAACGCAGATCGTATCACATTTGCACTCAGATCAGGGCGCAGGTGAGGGATATAGTTACGATTATCCGAGTACAAACCGTACAAATGACACTACTGGGTACGGCACGATGATGTCACGCTAGAGATGAGTCATGCATCAATGAAGGGATCTAGAAGCGCGTGACAGCGTACGCGAATACGGTTACCTGCGCGGTCAGCTGACGTTACAAGCACGTGAAAAACAGCACACACATGTAAAAATACAAAGTGTATGCACATAGATATATATAAAACTCTGTCGTCGGGCAAAACTCGCTACTTTTTTCGTCTATGAGTAGCCCTTTGTGTACAAGCACTTCTGCAACTCGCTTTTCTATATCCGGGAATTGATGGTCACCTTTCAGTACTAGACCACCCTCTAACCTGCAAAGCAATGGATACAGAATATGTGTATGGCTTTGGTATGTAGTGTGTCTCATTGATTCGATCTGAAGGAAGAGAAGGCCGATCATAAGAGAAAGTGAAGTCCATTGCATCGACAAAAGTGTTCTCTGAGTGGGTGGAATATGATATTTCCGGTGTATCCAAGCGAACTCAGACATAGCTTGTAAAAGGCAACTCACACTAAATCTATTGCGTGCATATAGAGCACCACAACAGCAATCACACTATACTATTATCACTTCACATAATGACGAGAGCAAAGGGTAGATACATGAAGACACTTAGAGGAAAGAAGTCCTAGCCTGTATTCAAGCAGACCATCTACACATACAGCACAAACTCCAAATGAAGCGAAAGGTGCATCTGACTGCATTGACAGTCAATGAGCACACAGTGGATCGTGTAGCGAGGTTGGAACTAACATCAACGCTACTACTGCGATCTTACGTCACATACATGTACAACTATACGTTTATGTGTATACAATTTTACAGAACCAAGTATGCACAGATTCACACAGGGCAAATAACAAGCACAAAAGTAAATGGTGTGTTTGCTACATACCTGCCTACCCACGCCGTCGCCAGCCGAGGGTGTCTGTCTGCTGAAAGGCAATCTGATAACCGCGCGATCAGCTCATCCTTCCTGTCTTTCACCACTATGTATAATTTGAAAATCATATTCAAGGGTGATTAGAGTGTACCGCCATATTGTGTGGTAAAATAGCCTCGTACGAGAACAGCAGCACGCTTCTAACTCTAAAAAATAAGAATAGGATCATATGGTTTAAAAGAGATACTATCGCACCACATATCTCGGCGTTGGCACTGCAACATAACAGCAGATTCTCTGAATCGAATCGCTATCTGCCTCCGCTGTCATCATATTACACATACACAACGGCAAAATGTATATAATGTGTGCTTGGTCGCCCGAGACTCCACAAGAGAGTAGAAAGATATTCTTATAGAAACTTGAAAACCCCTTTCAACCTCCCACGAACGGCGAATATGCTGACTATCACGCAGCATGGCGATAGAAAAACTGAACTAAAACTAAATTTTAGTAAGGAGGGAAAGAATAAAGCGGCTAGAATACATACCAGACGAAGGAGAATCGATAGTTTTGAGGTAAACATTGGTGCCCCGCATTTCGTATTGAGAAAACATGCCATCGAGAACACCCTAGAGATGAAGGATTATTGAATTAACAGTCAGAATATTGTCAGCAAAACAAGTTCTGGGACTAAACATCAAAAAGAGAAAAAGCTACGCATAACGCACAGCTCTATATGTGTATATATATATATATATATATATATATATATATATATATATATATATATATATATATATATATATATATATA